TGGGCTTTTGTTCTAAAAAATTAGTCATCATCTTTTTTTTTTAATGAGTTTATTTTGGTGTTATATTAATATTAATATTAAGAATAGAATCATATTAATTATTTATTTAACATAGTTTAAGCAATTTCCAAAAGCTTATATTTTGCACAAAAAAAGATTGTTCAGTTACTAGGTTAGACTAATGGGCTTGCTCGGAAACTTCGGATTGAAATTTTGGCTAAACTATTCGTTGTACGTAAAAAATTGAAGAGATTATTTTTTTGGGGAATTATATTATCTTTCATTCTTATAATGAGCTTAATTGATGTTTGAGCCATAGGAAGCGCCATATTTGCAAAAAACGTTTTTTATGAACTTTGATCTCGAATAATTTTTTATGTCACGTGATTTCGTATTCAATTTTTAATATTTTTTTGTAAACACTAAACTGAATCTATTAAAAAAAGATGGTGACTAATTTCTTTGAATATAAAAACTTAAGTTTACTGGACTGTGTTTCATGTAGTAAGCTTTACATGGATAATAAATAATCGTAAGAATGGATTAAGACTTGTTAATTGTATGTCAGTACTTTAGTAAAATATATTATTTTTAAGAGAAATTTAATGTAATACTTTAAATGACCAGTTTTGTGTAATATCAACAGAAATTTACAAGTAGTTAAAGTTATTTAATATTTTATTTTCACCTTGATACCTTGACAAGTGTCGAATTAAATATGGTTATCGACGGTTTTACTGAAACTAACGCAATCATATCGGTAGCTTTCGTATTAAATGTACAATCAATATAGTTTCTTATGTGCAAATGACTAGTCAAATGCAAATGAATAAGAAAAGCCTTGCAGTATGAGAATTTTTTATCAGTTCACTTGGAAATCATATCTTCGGTACAGCTTCGAATTTTGTTTTATTTATGAGTATTATATTTATAAAAATTAAGTATATATAAGTTTTCTTCATTACCTCTTCTAATATAGTTTTCGACAAAATTTCAGTTGTAATTTTACTCTAAAGTCGTTATTAATATATGTATTTTATTTGGTATCAATTTTATATTTGTTTACAACTTTCTAACTGTACCTAGAATGCTTTAAATTATGAATTATGTATTTTCTGAAATGTTTACATTTCACTTACGATTTGTCAGTATTTTGGCAGTGGGTCTTCATCATTAATTTACCACATAAGTCCTAAACTTCAAAGTAATATTTATTTAATTCAATTTTTAACGTACACGTTTACAATTATAGAATAATTTTGAATAAATCAAGGGCTATATAGAACCTTATTTCAAAATTCATGAGGAGCTGGTAACGGTGCAATTTTGCAAATCGAATGGTCGCATAAAAGAACAAATTGTCTATTAGGAGTTATACTTTAGGAGATTTAAAGTGGTAATGGGGTTGTAACTGCCTGAATTTTACACTCATGGTAGTTTTATGTATATCTCGGTACCATTACAATAATGATACTGGCCGTAAAACATTGAATCCCGTTAAGGCGTTTAAAGTTGTAAAATGTTAAAGGAAACAAGCACTTGACACGTCAGTATACATATGTAGGCATGAGCTTTTAATAAAGCTATAAAAACGAAACAAAATGAAGTTTAGCATGACAATTTTTTTATTGATATTTTCGTACTATTGGGTTTTTCTGATTTGGAATCCACATGAAGCCTATTCTAATATAAATTTCATTTTATTGCAATTTTAAGCAAACAATGATGTTAGACTATTCTGAAATTTTTAGGAACCCTAGACAAAAATTTCAGTCTCTTAGAGTCTTTTAGAGTGATTCAGCGTCTCTCACAGTCTTTCACGGTCTCTCAGTTATTGCCTAGATGTTTTTATGGATCTCTCACAGTCTCTGTATGAGAGACTCGAACGCTAAAATTGTTAATTCAGAGATTGGAGTCTCTCACAGAGAGATTGAATGAGTAAAACCGAAAAATTGAGAGACTCGAGTCTCTCGTAGAAAGACTGGGATCTCTGAAATATGTTGAACTTTAATCTTAACCATGTCTATCGAGACACCACTTATTGAGAGATTCGAGTCTCTCGTTCAGAGACTGGATACGAAATGAGGATTTCTCTATGAGCGACTCGAGTCTCTCGTTCAGAGACGCTAAACAGTTTTTTT